TGAGGCAAAGTTTCAGAAAAAAAAAAATAGTAAAATGTAACTGTAATAATTATAACTATTTTTAGATATGTAAATAATATATTTTGGTGTCTTCCTATATTATAAATAGAAAACAATTTATCTCAGATTACTGGTCACAGTGACCAAGCTCAATTTTTGGTGTTATTAATTTTAGGTGATTCAGCTCCTAAACTCAAATATACAAAAAGGGCAACATGTGTGAGATTTAAGAGATATTGAAAAACCTCAGCACATTATGTCTTAACATAGTAATATCTAAACTTCCATTGGATTGTTGTGGATGATGTTTGCCACAATAAAGTGAGGAGGGTTGGCCAAAGAGATCATTTAGTTTTTTTCTGTAAAATAAAAGACTCATTTTTCATTTTTGCCAATAACTTTATTGATTTGGATATTTTGAGTATGTTGGCTATCTCTCGTGTGGTATAACATTGATTGTTCTCAATTTATGTCTCAATTTGATCACTATCAACTTCAGCTGGTCTACCTACCATGGAGCTTCATCCAGCAAGAACTGTCTAGCACAAAACTTCGCAAATCACATTTGACATGGTCAATCAGTTACAGCACATTCTCCAGACACTGAACAAATCTTTTTTGCGTTTCAGTTGTGTTTTTACCTTTCTTGAAATAATAAAGCATAATATGCTGAAAATGTTGTGTATTTTCATCCATTTTCAATATTATAAAAGCTACACAAAAATTCACCAATTTTGATTTTTTTTGTTTAAATGCATGCTGATGTGACAGTTCTCACAGTACAATCTAACAAAATTGTTTCAAATGAAGTTAAAAACAACTGTTACTAGAGCCATCTTACAGAAAAAACAAAACAAACTTTTTGACCAGCCCAATATATACAGATACACTCCAGGAGGCAAATTCTACACTTACAGTATTTTAACAGTTGTAGCTATTGGAATCTCCTAAATATCTTGTCCTATGGGTTTACTTTTTTAAAATTCATAAGTCTAAGAATCATGGTGATGCCAAAATATATTTTTTAAACACCTTATGCTTTGGTCAATGTTATATCCTATAATTTTAGTTAATAAGAATCACAGCTAAAAATTTCTAAGTGTTATATTGCCATGTATTATAACATACTAAGTGCTTTTCATGCATTATCTCTATCCTCATATCATTGCAAAACAAGATATTATTTTTTCTCGTACATAAAGGAGAGAATTGAAGCTAAAATAAGTTAAGAAATGGATGCAAAACTTTGAAAAAGAGCAACAATCCTAACAGAAACCTCCATCTTCCCAAAAACTCTGTTCTTCACCATTATACCAGCAGTCCTACTAGCTCTCAGTGTCTTATTGATTTTTTGATCTTCAAAATTACGACAGGAAGTCTTTTAAATGCTTAACTTATGGGAAGTGACTACACTTAGACAATCCTTCCTGGTATAGACAAATACTAATTATAAACTCAAATTCAAATAAAGTTCCAAAAACTGAGTTTGAATTTCCTGGGGCTCAAAGAGTTTGGTTCAGTTTCATAGCCTCCTTTATTTTCCAGTGGCATTTCTCCAGAAGGAGGGCTTCTAAGGGTCAGGTAGTCTGAGGAAGCCTGCTGAAACATCAGAGAAACAAATGACCTCTATTGTTTTGTTCTTTGCCCTGCTTTGCTCCGCAAGTGTTCTCTACCACGTTGATGCATCTTAACACTTAAGATATTTATAACCTGAGTGGAATTGGTGTTTTAAATGCAGATCATGCCTAGCTGTGTGCAGGAAAATGATTGCAAATGTATGTAGGCTCCAAAGCCTAACTAGAGAAATTTTAAGGTAACCTGGACTCCTTTGTATCATTTCCCCTCTACTCCTTTTTCTTTTTCTTAGAGCTCACCCATCCCCCTTCTTCACCACTTTTTCTTGCTTAAGGTGCTATTCCATTCTTCTAGGGTTTTGTTTTTAGTTAGCTGTTAACTAACTTCAATTAGGTTATTAGTTGGTAGTGACAAGGAGTTCTTCTTCAGGAGAGATTTTTGTTTTTTAATGAGGAACTCTTGAACTAAAAGCTGCTTACAAAGCAAAAGAATGAATTTCAAATTATAGAAAGTGAAGGGGGCTAGTTCTGGACAGGTGTTCTGCTCATGATCTATTGTCTGTTGCTTGTTCAGATAATTTATATTTCTGAAAGTAGAGGGATGTATTCAATAAAAGGAAGTGAATTATCATACCACACCAGAATACAGTTTTATCAAAGTGATAGCTATGTGTGTGACCACAGCTTCCTAGCCTTCATGTAAACTTACCCTAATTATTTCAGCATTTCAATTATATAGACCCTATATTCACATGTTTATAGGCTAAACAGGACATTATACCTATGAAGATAGATTTTTGGAATTTAAGTCTACAATTTTTTGATAAAATTAATTTTTCTTTTATAACGCTATCCATAATTTTAACAAGCACTGAACTTTAAAAGTATTGAATTTATTAATATATAGTTTGCCATATATGTGGTAACATTTGTAGTTACTTAAATTCTGTTCTTCGGGGACGGACTTCCAGCCAAGATGGAGGCATAGGTAGATACACTTTGCCTCCTCGCACAACCAAAAGGACAACAAATTTAGAAACAAAAAATAACCAGAAATGCCAGAAAATCAAACTGTATGGAAGTCCGACAACCAAGAAATTAAGGAAGAAACATTCATCCAGACTGGTGGAAAGGGCAGAGACGGGCAGCATGGGTGGAGAGGACTCGTGGCAAGGCAGCGGCTGGAGGACCCAGCAGTCCCACATTTGCATGAGGATAAACCAGAGGAACAGCTGGGGAGCGAGACAGACTGCGTGATCCAGGGTTCCAGTGCCAGGAAAAGAGAGCCTCAAAAACTCTGGAGATAAAAACCTGTGGGAGTTGTGGCAGCAGGGGAAAATCCCAGCCTCACAGGAGAGTCCGTTGGAGAAACCACCAGGGTCCTAAAACATACACGAATCCACCCAACAGGGAATCTGCACCAGAAGGGCCCAGTTTGCTTGTGGGTAGCGGGGAAATGACTGAAAGCCAGCCAAGAGCCAAGCAAGCGGCATTGTTCCCTCGCAGAGCCCTCCCCGACATACAGCATCACAACTCAGTGACCTGAGTTGCTCTGCCCTGTCAAATACCCAAGGCTCTGCCCCTCCCAACATACCGGGCGCGCTGAGACAGAGAAATATGGCCCAAATGAAAGAACAGGTCAAAGCTCCAAAAATAGAACTAAGAGATGAACAGATAGCCAACCTATCAGATGCGCAGTTCAAAACACTGGTAATCTGGATGTTCACTGAATTGGGTGGGTATGGTCACAAAATGGAGGAAAAGGCAAAGGCTATGCCAAGTGAAATAAAGAAAAATATACAGGGAACCAACATTAAAGGGAAGGAAACCAGGACTCAGATCAATGATTTGGAGCAGAACGAAGAGATAAACATCCAACCAGAACAGAATGAAGAAACAAGAATTCAAAAAATGAGAGAAGCTTAGGAGCCTCTGGGACAACTTTAAATGTTCCAACATCTGAATCATAGGGGTGCCAGAAGGAGAAGAGGAAGAGCAAGAAATTCAAAACTTATTTGAACAAACAATGAAGGTGAACTTCCCCAATCTGTCCAAGGAAATAGACTTCCAGGAGATCCAGGAAGCTCAGAGAGTCCCAAAGAAGTTGGACCCAAAGAAGCACACACCAAAGCACATCATAATTACTTTACCCAAGATTAAAGATAAGGAGAAAAGCTTAAAAACAGCAAAAGAAAAGGAGACAGTTACCTAGAAAGGAGTTCCCATAAGCTGATTTCTCCAAAGAAAACTTATAGGCAAGAAGGGGCTGGAAAGAAGTTTTCAAAGTCATGAAAAGCAAGGACCTACATCCAAGATGACTCTATCCAGCAAAGCTATCATTTAGAACGGAAGGGCAGATAAAGTGCTTCCCAGATAAAGTTAAAGGAGCTTATCATCACCAAGCCCTTATTATATGAAACGTTAAAGGGACTTATCTAAGAAAAAGAAGATCAAAAACTTTGAACAGTAAAACAGAGGGGAGTGGGAGAGGGAAGGATGGGGGAAGAGGTACAGGGAATAAGCAACTTAAATAATAGGTACAAAATAGACAGGGAGAGATTAAGAATAGTATAGGAAATGGAGAAGCCAAAGACTTCTATGTACTTCTGTGTACAGCCCATGGACGTGAACTATAGGTAGGGGGAATGCTGCGGGGGAGGGGGATGGGATAGTGAAGGGTGGAGGGAAATAAATAGGAGAAAAAAATGGGGCAACTGTAACAGCATAATCAATTATATATTATATATAATATATATATAATTCTATGAGAATTTTAGAATGTGTTCTTACTCTTCTAATCTACTTACAACCTAGTTAAACTGCGCCAGATATTCTGTTTCTATACTGTCTATTATTTCCTTTTAGGATTTATGGGCCACTTCTTACGGATTGTGACCTTTGTTCTTAATAACATAAGGAATGTTTCAACAAGGAAAACATGGATTTTTCTGAACCTGTATCTTGTGTGGTTCTGTCAGAATCTTGAATTCTAGAAGTGACTATGCAAGACAAATGTCTTTGCATCACTGGTTATTGGAGCAGGAAAGATATATGGTGATGCAAATCCTATTTAGGATGTGGGTAGATTATTTTCATTATTCTAGTTCCATTTTTGTTTTTCTGAACTTTGTTCCCAACAAAATCTTGTAATTCTATAAGTAATTGTGCAAGACATGTTTTTGCATCCTTGGTTATTGGAGCAGTAAAGATAGTGATACAAATCCTATTTAGGATTTGGGTAGATTATTTTCATTATTCTACTTCCCTTTTTGTTTCCTTGAACTTTTTTCCACATTGTTTTGAGCTCATTTGTGTTGCCTACCTTTGTCTTTCTTCTCTCTTTTTCTCTTTTTCAATCCTGTTTATTTGCTATTAATAACAAAAGTACCCACTGTTATATTACATCATTCTTTTGTTTTTACACAGTTACCATTGCTATAATAGCTACCGCTGATTCAATACCAAAGAAGTTTCAGGTAATTTGCAAATATTATTCCTATTCTTTAATAAGTTAGTAAAGTTAATAAAACTTTACATTATCTCTGTTTTACAAAGGGAGCAGTTAAATCATATTATATTAACATGCACTCATTTATTTGATTGTTTATTACTCATAAAATGCATTTATTTAAACAGTATTTATTGAGTACTTGTTATGTACAAATAATGGGCTTAAATATTGTGGGGATTACAGAGATGACTCTTACATCCTTGTCCTCAGGTACTTTTCAGAATAGATAGGGAATAACACCTGTCTGTATATAACCAAAATACTAGGATCCATCAACTACTTCAAGGGATTCTCAAAACCCCAACCACTAAAATAATATCAAATATCAAAGGGAACTCAATAAACATGTTGAGTGATTGAGTAAATGTTTGAGTAAATTGAAGTCAGAAGAGTCTACGTAAATTCAGAAGTGAAATGAAAGAATCATAAGAGGTTCCTTGGAGAATGTGGCATTTGAGAATGTGGGTATAGACTCCCAGAGAGTGACAGAAGGACATTGCAAGGTAAGCAAATTATATGAGCCAAGGTATGGAGCTGTGTGAGTGAGAAGTGTAAAATATGTAGAAAGTTAATGCACAAAAGAAAGCAGTGGCAATGTGGATGAAAATATAACCTGAGTTCCCATGGCAGGGGCCATAGGGGACTGGCTACAGGATGTGGGCCTATTCACTCAGCAGTTTTTATTTTACCTTAAAGAAAATTTTCTTAGACATTACAGAATGAACAAATAGAAGCCTTAACAGGAATCCAATGTGAACATCACAGCTGGATTTGGGCGGGTGTGGGGTGGGGGTGGGGTGGTGGCAGAATAAAGAGAAACTACCAACAGTCTTTCAGTATTAGAAATATTTAATAAGTGCATTAGATTTTCAAATTGTCTTTCAGTTGAAACCTTAAAAAACAAAGTAAAACAAAGCAAAACTATCTCATACTGGGTAAAGACTGTTGTTCTCAACATCAAACAAGTTCCTTATATATTGAAAAAATATTTTTATTCCATTATTCTTTTGCCTGACCTGTTTGTTCAGTTCCAAGACAAACTGATTTGAAGGGGTCTTACGTAAAATAAACCACAGGACACAGTGGAAGTACAAGAAAAATATTTTTGTTTGGGCATAATGTAGAGAAATTGTCTGGACTTTGGAGCCTGATAAACCTGGGCTCTATTCTTGGAACAACATCCATTAACTGTGATCTTGGACAAGTCAGCTCATTTTCTTTTAAAGATATAGGCTCTTTATTTTGAAATATGTGGCTGTTTGAGAAAGCAAAGTAATTTGTCATTCTTACCTATTTTTACAAAATTAACTTTTTATATTTAGCTCATGTTTTACTCCTTAGTTTTTATCAGTAAATAGTATATGTGCCTCATAGGGTTTTGTGAAGATTATATACACACACGCATACACACGTAGGTGGTACTCAGAAATTAGTGAGATTTTTCTCCTAATTCTGCCCTTATTTTTTGTTTTCCTCAAATTGTTTGTAATTTAGTTTTATATTCTCTGTAAAAGGAAGATGAGAGACTTTACAAGTCTATTAGGTGGTGAAGTGGTACCTAGTGGCTAAGAGCGCTGCTATGGTACCCACCACCCCAAAGATAGAACATAAATTCTATGAAGATGGGGGATTTTGTCTGCCTAATTCATTGAAGTATCCCAAACACTTTGAACAGTGTCTGGTATATAGTAAGGGCTCAGCAAACCTATGAAAATAGGAATATTTAGGTTAATGTTGTGGCTATCATGGGACTTGGTTTGTACTTGTTATAACCTGAGGAAGAAGGTGAAGTGATTTGCCCAAGGTAAAACAGCCTTAATTTCTTTACCTGTAAAACTGGGATAATAATATTTTTATTGTGATATAATCGACTTATAACATTATATAGTTTCAAGTGTACAACATAATGAGTTCAGTATATGAGGTCTATCTAGAAAAAGTCCAGCCATTGTTAATACAATGAAAACAGTTTGCACAACATCGGATGTAACCTGTAACCTGGCAACCAAGTACAGAGGACTGGAATGCACTTATGTGAACAAGGACTACTTCATTGTTCTAGTCATTGGGGACAGTAGATGTTGTTGAGCTTGTGTACTGTGTGGCTGTTGCATTCAAACTCCATAGCAGTAAGGCTTTACCAACTTTTATATATTTAGATTTCTACTGGCATACAAACACAACCAAGAAAATAAGACTGAACTTGTTCAAATGTTTCACTTTGATTAATTAATAAACTATTTTTAAAAAGATTTTATTTATTTATTTGTTTAGAGAGAAGAGAAGGAAAAGAGAAAGAGAGAGAGAAAAACATCAGTTGGCTACCTCTCACACATACCCACCTGGGGACCCGGCCTGCAACCCAGGCATGTGCCCTGACCGGGAATTGAACCAGCAACATTTTGTTTTACAGGCTGGTGCTCAAGCCACTGAGCCACACCAGCCAGGGCTAATAAACTTTAGAATAACACCTATTATTAATATCTGTTTCATCAATGTAATAACCACTTTCCTTCTCAGAAGCCTCCTAGTTGGAATAAGTCACCCAGGCACCCTAATTATATTCTATTCTTCAGCAATGAAGGTTGTTAGGTTCCAATACATAATTTTTCTTGCATTATTCCTGGTAATTGTGTGCTACTCTATACAATGTCCTTGAATTTCATATGCATTCATTAAAAGTTTTTAACTCTTGAAAGATATATTGGAGGGTTAATATAGATGTGACACACAAAGTTTTATTTAAACAAGTGTGGAAAAATAAGGAAGTTTTATAGACTGTAATTTAATTGCACCTCAATATAAAATATTGGGCTCAAATCCACTTTAGTAATAGGCTGAGAGGTGAACATCACAAAAAGGAATTTATACATTTATTTATTTCAATATACAATTCATGACACAAAATCATTTTAAATATTATCTCCGGTATCTACACACACGCAAAATACCAACTCCATAATTTATCAACCTAAGGCACAGTTCATAAAGGGAAATTTTAAGTTATAAATCAAGTTAATGAGTCAGGTTGTCACTAACATTGAGGTGCTTTTTTCCATTTTTTAAAAAAATATAAGTTGAGTGCCTTTAGAAATGGCATTATACAATATGTTAGCAGCTTATATGAGTTCATGTTATTTCCAAAGGTGCCTAACTCACAGAGAAAAGCAGATACCCTGTAAAAATCTGAAAGCAAAATATTACATTTCATGTCCAATAATGAAGTTTCTTTAAAAAAAAAAAAGCACATCACACACATAACCTCCTTAGTAAATGTACAGTTAGTTTTTAAGTTGCCAAACTTAAAATCTAGTGGTCATTTAATTGAAGATGTGACTGACAGGAACACAAGTTGCTCTCGCAATACCCTGCATAAAAATATGACTCAAGTTAATAAAATTATGTAGGTCTCAGGTGTACAATTCCGTAATAAATCATCTGTATATTGTATTGTGTGTTCACCACCCCAAGTCTGGTCTCCTTCTATCATTCCAATAAATACAATAAAATTTTTAAAATACCTTAAAAAAAAGAATATGACTGAGATTTGCTGAATGCCACTTAAACAGGATAAAGGGCACATACATTTTCGAAATGCTCACTGATGATAACAGACAATTACTAATAAAACTGCTACAAATATTCTTGTATCAGTCTTTGTTGACAAGTTTTTCTTTTCTCTTGCTAGAATATCTGGGAGAGAGCTGGGATGCCCATGAATTTCTGTCAGTGAGATACTACAAAGCTAACTAGAGGATATACGCAGGGACGTGACTGCCAATGGTGCATTTCACTGTACGTTTGTTGGGTAGGAACCAGACCTCTGACTTGAGAGACTCTCAACTGGAGTTCCCCGCCTGTGGTGCTTCCAGTTTTGTTTTGTTTTTTTAAACCTTTAATATCTTTCTCAAGGAATGAGTGTTCCTGGTTGACAGCAAATAGAGTTGAGGAGTTTAGAATTTAACTAATTTTCCCTGTTTTTAACTTGTTTTATTAAATTCTTTCCTCTGTGCTCATGATATTTTCAGATCCAGAATCTCTCCAGTTTCATTTATCCAGAGATTAAATTAATGTTGGAGTAAGGGGTAGTGATTACCTGGATGCAATGACTTGTCAGCAATGTCCCCAAAGGGGTGTCCACATAGATCTGAAGCTGCTTGACACTGTACCCTCTTCTCCATTAAGTCTGACAGCATTGGAAGCTGGGATTAAACAAACCTCCAGGAAAGAGCCAAGTTGTCCACAAGAGATTTTCCATTATGATTTAAGTAGAAAGAGAGAACAAGAATTTAACAGGTCCTTTAGAGCAATCCCATATTCTCTCCCACCAAAGCCACCAAGCTTTGATTCTGTTTTTGTTATTTCTTTTTTTTCTTGAGCACCATCAAGAAAGTACGGAAAGACACTGTGAATGTTCCATGTAATAAAGGCTTTAGAGCTAATCTTTTTTTCCTCTATATAGCGTTCCTGTCCATCTTGGTTAGGAAGATCATTAGTTTCTTGAAATTCTGTTTATTTTCATTTTGTTTTATTTTTAAGAACACTTTATAAATAATATTCCTTTCTATTGTTTATATTTGAGTCTTATTGCAATTTAGTCTAATGCTAAGTAACTTTCACCTTAAATAGCCATGTGATAAAATTCAGTGGCTCCAAATAGTCATTTCTTTTGGTTATGAATGCTCTGGTTGGATCTAATTAGAGAGGCAAGTTTTAAATGATAACGTGTGTAGTAAAAATAAACAAAAAAACTTTGATTAAGATTTGATTATTTAAATAGATCTTATAATTTGAGAGATACCCTATGATTATGTTGTAGCTCTGACCAGGGAAATAACGTATAATTAAGGTAGAAACTGTGGGGGAGGAACAAACTTCTTTGGTCTAAGTATTTCTCACTGGTCTAATAAGTAAGCTTGAGACTGATTAGCAGGGGAAAATAACCAATTTTAATATGTACACATG